TTACATTATATAAGTATATGACATGTAACACATATAAATCTAATAGTCAAAAATATCCTGGAGAACAAATAGCTTTACAGTTAACCCGATCTGTAACTGAGCCTTTATACATCTGTTAATAAGCATCAATTTGAATTAATTTATTAGTTATGACATGATAATGACGTCATCTCATATTTGTTATGGATACAAGTGATGTCATGGGCTTAATTCTCATTTAATTAAAAAAATAATTCAATGTGTTCACACTCACTTGTATCAACAATCTCCATGGATGGTAATATTGATATATAGAAATGATAGTTGGTTTAATAATGTATGAATATATAATTTGCAACATAGAGAGATGTTTTGATACATTCTGTATCATTGATTCCCTCATAACCAATTAAGGTTTTGCGCATAACAGGAACTTTATGTACATAATATAGGCTATTGCACAGAGACAGGGTCCTTAGCACCAAGAGCCAAATGATTTCCAAGACTTTTCCCGACCATTTCCCAAACTCTCTTGCATTTTTCCAAGACATTTTGACCTTTAATTCAGGCCAACATTATCACCAAAGCTCATCAAAGTTCTGAGGATATGATAGTTCCCTGGAGAAAATAGGTTTCTAAAATAAATTATTAACTATGAAGAAATTTGAAGGTTTTTCAAAGATTTTTTTATTTTTCCTGTAATTTACAGACAACTCAAAGACTTTCCAGACCTCAAAAAATCCAAAGACTTTCAAAGGATTTTCCCACGGCTATTGACCCTGAAAGAGGTTGGTATGAACCAGTTCTTCATACCCCAAGATAAAATAATGGTGTTGTTTGCTAGTTCTGTTATTAAATATATGTGTCCATGTTAAATAAACAAATGATAGACAACGTTGTCACAGTAGATTGTGAATTAGTGTTGATCAGTGAGTGATATTTGTTATCAGACATTCGCATGCACATATAAATCAAAAATGTAAACAAATGACGTCACAGTGTGGCGTTCTATACAGCAATATTTTATTACCTGAACATGTCCTAAGATCATCATTCAGTAGGTAACCATAGTGACAAGTACAATCATATCCTGGTGTTATGTCAACACAGCCATGGTCACAGTATTCAGTATGGGCATCGATATCTGTAGTACATTCATTAATTGCTGTGTAAAGAACACAATAATGAGAGTGAAAACATATACATAATGTCACATGGCTTCTTTGAGATAATTAAATTCAGACAATGTTTTCATATTTAGACGATTAGTACTGTACTTACGAACACAAACAGTATCGTTATTAATATCAGGTTTATATCCTTTCCAGCACATGCACTTTTCCTCAGTACCATTGTTGTTGGCGTAGCAGGTTGCATTGATGCACTGTGTTCCATTGGAACATGTATTATTTGCTGTGGAATAAAATAAAAGATGTAAACTTCACATTTGTTATGCATATTTGCACAATCAACATGTTTTTATAGTCGACACAGTGTTTTCAAAATACCACCAGTATATTTATCGAGACAGCCAATGGAACTTGTTGACCAATTTACATATCTTGGTCACAAGTGATTTGAAGGATAACACTGATATGGATCATCAGAAACGTCTATTTTGCATCAGGGCTAATCTTCTATTACGGAAATTTTCAAAATGTAGTTAATGGTCAAACGTTTGTTATTTTAATAAACTTTCTGTAAGTTATAACTTTTTTTGCTGTCAACTATGGTGCTCCTTTCAGAAGTCGAACCTGAATGCTTTGCATGTATTTTATAATAACTTGTTTCGCCGCTTTTTTCGTTATCCACGTGATTATAGTGTAAATCATATGTTTGTATATAATCATGTCAAGTCTTTTTACGAAATTTTTAGAAATCTTGTACATGTATTTAAATTTTGAGAGCGTATATACACCTCGGATAACAGTCTGTTGGTGAGCTTATGTAACTCTGATGTTCATTGGAAGTCTGCTTTGTTCCAGCATTGGAATAATATTTAATTAATATTGCCATACATATATTTTTTGTTCATTTATTTATTTTTCATACTTAGTAGTTTTATATGGACTTTCAAATGTTTGACAGTCTGAAATAAAGATAAATAAATAATAATAATATTTCCACTAATTCTTACAACAACTTGAGAAACTCCTAAACTATACACTTCCTGAAATTTTTAATATAGAAGGAATGTAATACTATAAATAATTAATCGTTTGTTTGTTTTTTAAACTTGGTAAACAAGCAATTTGCGTTGTTCTAGTGTGTTGCTATTCATAATCATTGTGACTCATAAATGACCAAAGTACATATTTTATTTGTGTTCAAAATCAAAACAATGAACATTTAAGGTTAATTCAGCTCCTAACCCTGTACATGGTGGAATTGTTTTACATTGTTATTTTATAGCTTTAATAGTGCATGTGCAAATAGCATATGATAATGCAGTACTTGAATGACTTGAATTGATGAAGTTTGAAATGAATTGCTCAAAGCATGTACCAGCGATACATGTACTAGTATGTCTAAAATAGAAAAATGGCCGCCACTCGGTCATCTTTAGTGGAATTTACAAATTGAAGTGTCATGGATCAAATACCCATAATGATTAATCCTTCCGCCATATTAAAATTAAGGTGCAATATGAAAACATGTATTATTAAATATTATTGCTTGACACGGCATGTTGAGAACGAATTGGTTTAAGATTTATGGAAACAGACTACGAATATTGCCTTTGCAGCATGTCCTGTTTAGCACTATTTTGATGAAAAATTAAAAACACTAACTCTTCAGTCTATTTATTCATTCACTTGTTTACTAACATAAACATGTGACGCCATATATGGTACTCACCTACACAGGTTATGCTATCAACATCAAGATAAAAACCTTCTTCACATTGACACATGTATGGCTCTGGATTCTCAACAGTTTGCTCGAGGTCTATGCATATTTGTGAACAGTTATCGGTTTGAAACAAACACTCATTGGATGCTGTAAAATGGTTGATATTTTAAACATTAGAAATGTATTATAATTTTAGTATCTAGAACACAACCCATCGGTTAAATTTGACAACAATCATAATCAAAACATGTGTATGCAACTCCAGCTAATATAATAATAATAATAATAATAATTTATTGACACAACACCGATATAGTACAATACGGCAGTATGGCCACTAAATACAACTATTAACTACATTTAAAATAGAATTAACATATTTGGCGAAAAGTATCATAAGATGAGTATCTAAAGCACTTAACAAATAAATGAATTTACATTCTTGATTTATATATATATATATATATATATATATAGTGTGTATCTATTTATTTCCACTGTATTTAAAGCTCCATACGAAATAATCCACACAGGAGCAATATCATAATCAAGAATAAACTCTACTGATTTACAAACATTAAACATGGATTACATACAAAGTCTGCTAATAGAACAATGTTCAATACACAGTGC